TATTTGCCCTATGCGTTCCAGCTTTGTTACCCGTCATGATGATATCACTTACCGAATTCTTAGACAACTTTTCTCTCAGACCTGTCAGTAAAGTAATGATAGTACCCAACATAACTACCGTATCGGTGTTGCAGGTAACACATACCCACCTACGATCAGACTTGCTGAGTCTGCTATAGGCTGCTGCTGTTAGATCTGTACATGCTTCATGGAACCAACCTTTACAGTTGTCACATTGCATGCCAGATGTAACGGCAAAACGGCAACCAGGTCTCTTGCATGAATTTTTCATGGCTAGTGATTTAGACTGTCTTAAAAATATAAGCAGTAAATTTAGGACCGTTAAAAAAAACACACAGTAAACAAAAACTATCAAAAATGTATAAAAATAGTTAACTATAAGCTAAAGCTAGCCTTTACGTGAAAACTATTAAAAAAACCGATAGTGAGCTGAGGCAAAACCACAGTTAACTATTAATTTGAGTGAAACACAAAAAAGAAGTAATCTACCGAACGTATAGCTCAGAATAGATTATTTTGATTGGAAATGATACTTTTGTTGTTCCCTGGGTAAAATATTATTTCCTTCCATATGTTTTAAAATAGCTATACAAATGATCTCTTCCATTAGTTTGATAACTACGCTGGTTCGACTAACAAGTCGATAGTTGCTGCCGCAAAAACGTATCAAACAGAGTTGCTAGAGGTTAGGCAATTGTATGAGTATGATTCCCAATCTCAGCAGTCTAGAAACAGTCTCATGAGTTTATCTGTTGGGAAAAAGGCTTCGAAAAACATTGAGGCCATTAAAATGAGGAGTGAAAGTTCATAAATTTTTTGGACGGTGAATATTTTGTTGAACCTTCTCATGATCGACGCTACTCGAGCACTATTCGTTTGCAGGCGTGATGGCGGCAAAGCGTAAAGGAGCTAGAAAGGTAGTCGAAGAACAAGTTTCTTTGGGTCCTCAAGTTGCAGAGGGCGAATTTGTATTCGGAGTTTGCCACATCTATGCATCATTCAATGATACATTTGTTCACGTAACGGATGCGACAGGTGCTGAAACAATCGTTCGTGTCACGGGTGGCATGAAAGTAAAAGCCGATCGCGATGAATCTAGTCCGTATGCTGCTATGCTTGCAGCTCAAGATGTTGCAGAAAAATGCAAAACATTGGGTATAAACGCCCTACATATTCGTATCCGAGCAACTGGTGGAACAAAGTAAGCTTTGACTCCTTGTTTTTTAATGATCTTAGGGTCCGTACCCCAAGTCCTGCTGCGCAATCCGCCCTACGAGCCCTCGCACGTTCAGGAATGCGCATCGGTCGCATAGAAGATGTCACACCTATTCCAACTGATAGCACGCGACGCAAAGGAGGTCGTCGAGGTCGCCGTTTGTAATAACTCACGTGTCGAATACAATATGGTTTGACTTCATTATCTCATGTTTTCTGAGACTTCACTACCTCAATAATACTAAGTGCTTCGCCTGAAATTAGATGAGATAAGCATTGTAGCTCGAGGTTATCCATATATATTTTGATATGTTCGTAGTTTGGATGATGTTCACAGTAGTTAATTAGGTGAACAAGATTTTAGTGGTTCAAAGTATCAATCAAACATTTGCTTTAGTAGTTGCTACCGTCTGATGCAACCTAAACGACCACTTACTTAAGTTATACCATTTTTAAAAAAAATCGTTATCTCATGAGCCCTGCTAACATTGCAAAGCCAGGTCACAAGGAAAACACTTCGAATAATCACAACGCTAAATAGTCATTTGTTTATCAGTTTCTTGGTGAGAATTAAGTCTTTGTAACCATACCGGCTGAACTAAACACTTTATTGGTAAGCATCAAGAAACTTCGCTCATCAGTCTAATATTTGATGCAGTCAAGTATCACTTTATGATATAGTTTTGCCTTTACAACGTAATTCTAGGTTTGGATTTGATACACCGAGTACGTCTTCTGTACCAGCTAATTAGTTTGCGCTACAATCACGTCAACCCCAAAGTTACATATCACTAGAAATCAAATCAGATTGATAAGTGGGGATGACCAGCAGTCTTTGTGGTGGGTTTTTATGAGACGTCCCCATTTAAGATGTGGAATATCGATGTAATCCCCTAGCATCAAATGATAAAACATTGGGAGATGAACCTATCACTTTCTTATTATGAATAGTTAACCAGTTTTGTTGACAACACCTATCTTGGATGTCTGGTCAGTCCCAATGGGTTGGTGTCTGCCGAAATCTCAGCACGGATTCTAAAAGCTCGTTTGGCTTTTACCAACTCACGTCACCTATGACGAAGACAAGATATCCGTCTATCAATTAAGGGACAAGTATACTGCCCAGCAGTTCGCTCCGTTCTAATTTACGGCTGTGAAACATGGCCATTAGAAGTAGAAGATACATGTAAGTTACTAATATTTGATCACAGATGGCTTAGAAATACTGCTCGCATCTGCTGGGATCACCGGGTAAGTAATAGTAAGGTTACACCGGGTACTAGAGAATCATGGTAAATCAGTTGAGGTCACGAATCTACATCGACTGAACCATTCATTAGAATCCTGCCAGTCATTTAGGATTGGACTTCTTAACTGAGAAAGTTCTGGTTGTACATTTCAGTTCCCCCCATCATTACTCTTCTCTTTTTTTTCTTTATATATACGCATCTTCCCCCTCTCTCCTTCCATTCTCATTATTTTGTGTGGCGCATGTGTATCTGGTGCCCTTTTGTACCAATATGTATGTGTTTAAATAAATAAATAAAAATTCATCGACTGAGATGGTTGGGCGACGTGTTACGTATGCCTGAACACTGATTACCATGACGCGCAATGCTGACTGGTGTTGGAAGAAAGTTAGGGGTGACCAAACTAAAACGTAGCATCAGAGCTTAAAGTCACTAACTTCTAGTCTAAGCCATGTTGATAGATGCAAACTACTTGGTCCGCGTGACTATCGTAATCGAAGGTTGAAGACATGGCTCAGAATCGATCACAATGGCTCAGGTGTATACACACTTTATCTTCCCTTAAACCTTGAGATTAGAATTTCTTCATATCTATCTTCTTTCCTATACTATATCCTCATATACAACCTTTCTTATATATCTTTCCACCACTAAATTAACTATGAATCCGGTGTACATCTTGTGCTAGCGAGGTATGGCAACTTGAACCGATGCATAAATGTGCCTGGTCCTACGTTGTAGCTGACTGACCAACTTATTATTCGAATATGTTCGAGAGTATCAGCTGGTTGAATACTTTCCAGATAAGGCCTAACATAGGTGGTGTATATAACCCCAATAACATCTTTATGATGCTCGAAATCCCTGCAAACTGACCAGTCAGCCTACAGTTATAGCTAGGTTTTTCTATGCGGTCTGGTACATCACTTCAGGTAGGGTCCTTTTTCCCCTCAATCGGAAGCAAAGCTTTCAGTTCAATTGTGTTGAGGGCCTTGTCCGTAATTTAGCTCCATAAATTGTGTGTGACGGGGAAGTTAGGTTGTTCTCAACTGAGTCCAACTTCTAAGCGCGTCAATAATCGTTTGATGGAATGTAGAGAATGAGCTGCAAACACGACACCGATACCCTCTAGGCGTTATTTTCCGACAAAAGATGCGGTGTCTTAATTCTGACATCCTTCAAATAAATCTAGTTGTCGTTGAAGTGTTTGGCAAATATTTTGACATACATTTAGCTATAGATTTCTTAGAAAAGGTTCAAAGATGGAAATGTACTCCATCGTAAGCCTCACTGTACAAGTTTGAGAGGTGGTTACCATTTCGAGTAGTTTGATCTAAGTGAATCAGAGAGAAATCATCTAGTTATTTCATATCATATACGATGCAATACTCTCACAGATATTCATACCCAGAAATCACTCAGATAAGTTCCCTCTAAGAGCTGAGTTGACAGGAATGGTGCGAAGTTGTCATGTTACCCATTTACTGAGGACAGGTTCGTGTGTTTAATTTGGAGGTATATTCCAAGTGACGTCTAGAAGTGTTTTAGACTTGACCAAGCCGAAGTAGTTGTATCAGGACTCTAAGTTGTGATCTAGTGGTTAAAAAAGCAGAAAGGTCTACCAACGATAGTATAATTTGAAGTAGGTTCCCTGAGAAAGCGGCGATTGTCTGACTAACCGGTACCTTTGGAAGACTATGGTTGACCAAAGTATGAGAAAGCGTAACTTTCACTAGGGATTCGCAATGCAGTGGAGCTTCTTGACAAACAAGGAAGGACAGGACGAGCAGTTTTCATATCTATATTTCCACCGAATGGTATTTCTGGTGCTTGAGTCGTGAGGACTAAAAGTTACTATTAGTGGTTGGCTTCAAAAACTGAACAGGGAAACAGAATCGTAAATGATACCTCTGTTCAGATTTCTTAATCTTTATTTCATCAACACTTTAATCTATGATATTTTGCTTCTATGTGATACGCTCGCCTTTGACACGGTGAAAATTTGTAGCTTAGAAAGATGTCTTTGGTGGATCTGTGCCTTGGGCGATTCAGTCGTGGGTCTTTCATTGTCTTCATAGACATCGCAAAATTTATAGACGTGAGCTATCCTAATGTAGATCGTGAAAAGCCTTCTTATGTGACGATCCCCCAAAAATACCAGTGTATCCTAGTCCCTTCTATTTGTAAAGGATACTTATAATTAGTATGAACCGTAAGTTGTTTGAATCCATGACGTAATTTTGAACACTGACATTTTCCGATAAACCTCGTGACTGTCAGTGATTTTCGATTGGCAATAATGGCTGTTCACAAACAGTATCTACTGTTGAGGCGCAATAGTTGTCTGATACATGTGATTCACAAGCCTGTGATAGAGTACACAATAAAGGGTTGTTTTGGAAAAAAGTACAAGCCCGGTATACTGGTGGTTACTTGTAATAGATATTACCTCCCTGGAAATACTTCTAAGAAGTATCTTAACAACGCAACAATTTGGTTAGCAATATACGATACTCTGGGGTATATTCCACAACTAATGACACAGGCAACCCTTCAATGAAATTTCAGACAATCTAAGAGGTAATCAACGACACCACGTTACAAAATGCTGTCGCATTCTCGAGACACCACTGGGTCAGTGTTCGTTAATCCAACACACCATGTTTCTTACTAAATGGAATTTCTCACGACCGACAGTATAGTGAAGAAAACCAATCATCTAAGGTTGCCCTGTAACAGTCTACCATTGCAACGACACAAATGCAGTGACAGAATTATAATTATACGGTAGGCTACTCGCTTAACTCTCGACCTATGTGAGAATGTCAATAGTCATATGCATGTATGGTGCGGTCGGTACTTATTAATCTGGATCGATTGTGGCACGTTATTAACCGAGTGTATTATCGAAATCAACAAAGCTATACACAGAAATTCAACGATATTTACATTTCTCAACTGCTAATTCGTGCAGCACTATATAACTGGTGATGCAGTTCGTACTATAACTCAAAATCAATCACCATTAATGACTAGTTTTACATTGACTGTAAAAACACCCTACCTTTACAATTTGAAAAAAAGAACTAAAGAAGGCGTGAAATATTTAATGATCACAAGTTAAAGTGCAAAACAGTAGATAATGATCAAAATGTACATGTTGGACTGATATTAGGACATAAATACTGCACGGAAAAAAACAAACAAACATTTATTATTATGTGAGTGATGACCAATAACTACTGGGTTTTTTAAAAAAAAATGCTAAAATATACAATCAAAATATGTTGACCTTTTTTAAAGCCTTTTAGTATACAATCCGAATCTATGTCTTTAACCACTCGATCATTTCACATGTAACAGACTGGAACATACAACGAAAACAAATTTGAATACATAAGAAAGACTTGTGATATTTCCTCATAACCACAAAGAGCTCATTGAACCACCCATCTCGCTTTGCTCTCGAACAAATACTTCATAGTATTGGTAGATTGTTGTGACAGCCATGAGAATACCTGTTCCGCTACCAATAGCACCTGGAACAAATAAGTTAATTTGTGATTAGACTAAATCAGTAAAACATCACTGGGATTATTGTTAGGTTTTTAGTATACAAAATTTGTATAGAACGCTAGTATAAAAAACTAATTAGTCAACCAACTTTCCAGGTACTTACTTGGGTAAGATCTATATCCTAAGTGTGAGGGTTAATTAAGTTGGCCGGTCTCCAAACTGAAGTAGTTAGAGCAGAGTATGAACCTGGAATTTAGTGACCGAAGGTCAAGAAGCACTAAGCTACCACCCCTTGATGGGATTCCACGAATGCTCCGGTGGGAACAGGAAATTGTATTAACGAGCTCTTTACTCAATATTGAGACCTTGAATGACATGGCTCAAAATCGTTTGCAATGGCGAAGGTGCATCCACTCTCTGGGTTCTGCCAAATTCGAATCTTCTGAATTCCTCATGTCCCTAACCTTTTTCTCTTTCCAAATTTATTTCACTGTATTATACTCCTTCAATAACATCTTCAAACCTTAATCTTTCACATAATGCATATACTCTTACTACTTCTAGCACTATGGAATTTGAATGGACAACTGCATCTCTGTGCTAATGTGGTATGGCAACTCGAACTGATGTACGTACGTACGAAGTTCTACGTTGTGACTGACTGACTCAATATTTGGCCGGCTTATATAAAATGTAGCAATAACAATAACTGTATTTTTACAGTAGTGACAATTACAAGCTTTTACATTATTCATTATCAAGATTTTGGGACTTAAGTAGAGGGTCAGTATGAAACTTACAATAAGTCTACTCTTAGGAAAGGGCGTTTCAAACGACTTAGGCAAAAAGAGTAGAATCTATTACAAATGTGTTGGAACAAGCTTTCACAATTCACACAAGAACAAAAAAGGAATTAACAGGAAAGATATGTGGAAAAAAAACATGACGGTAGTAGTAAATTAAGGAAACATGTATAATAAAGGTGTGGAAAGTATGAACGTACTTGCGCTTGAATAGTAGCATGAAATAGGTGATGACTGTGCTCAAGAAACACCCCTATCAACTCACTTGCTGGAGACCTATAACTTTGGAACAATTTACCACTGTGCCCAATATCAAAATGTTTGTAGTGGCCCTACAATACATTAGTGTTTAAAAGCATGTTTGGCTTCTGCCAACTTACATCACCTACGGAGATACCTGTATAATGTACGACAGTTTGTTCTCCTCTACTTTACGGCTGCGAAACATAGCCATTAAGGGTAGAAGATACTCGTAAGCCAATTGGATTTTATCACAGATGTCTTAGAAATATTACCAACATTTACTGAGCAAGTAATATTGAGGTTAGACACAGGGCGTTAGAATCATGGTAAATCAGCTGGTGAGGTTGTAAATCTTGGTCAACTGAGATGGTTGGGCCACGTGTTACGTATGCCTGAACACCGATTAGTCAGTCAGTCAGCTAAAACGTAGGACCAGGCACATTTATGCATCGGTTCAAGTTGCCATACTTCATAGGTACAACAAGATAAACATCGGATTCATAGTAGTTAATTTAGTGGTGGTAGTATATAAAAGAAAGGTTGTATATGAGGATATAGTACAGGAAGGAAGAAAGTTGTGAAGCAATTCTAATTTCAAGGTTTAAGGGAAGATAAAGAGTGTATACACTTACGCCATTGTGATAGATTCTGAGCCATGTCACACAGTCTCCAACCATTGGTTACGATAGTCACGCGGACCCCAACCAGGTAGTCTGTATCTACCAACATGGCTTAGACTAGAAGTTAGTGACTTCAAGCACTGATGTCACGTCTTGGTTTGGCTGCCCGTAACTCTTTTCCAACCATCCCTACACTAGTCAGCATAGCGCGTCGTGGTTATCGGTGTTCAGGCATACGTAACACGCGGCCTAACCATCTCAGTCGATGAAGATTCATTACCTCACCAACTGATTTACTATCATTTCCTAACACCCTGCGTCTAACCTCACTATTATTTACCCGGTGATCCCAGCAGATGTGAGCAGTATTTCTAAGCCATCTGTGATCAAATATTAGTAACTTACATGTATCTTCTACTTCTAATGGCCATGTTTCACAGCCATAAAGTAAAACAGAACGGACTGCTGCGCAGTATACTCGTCCCTTAATTGATAGACGGATATCTCGTCTTCGCCATAGGTGATGTAAATTGGCAAAAGCCAAACGAGCTTTTTGAATCCGTTCTGAGATTTCGTCAGACACCAACCCATTAGGGCTGATCAGACTTCCAAGATAAGTGAAGTTGTCGACGCGTTCGACTACTTTGCTCCCTATCCTTAGTTCAGGTGTTGACGCAGGCCAGTCCTGGAGTAACAATTTACATTTAGATGGGGAGAAACGCATCCCAAACATCCTGGCATTATTACTCAGTTCTAACAGAAGACTGCATTTTGCCAGCGTCGTCACCAAACAGGACTATGTCATCTGCGTATTCTAAGTAGCTTAGTGGACCCCCAGTAGGAGATCAATTCCTGAAAATTTTATCGAAGAGTGTTATTTACAGCAATAGGTCTATAATGAAGTTAAACAAAAATGGGATAGTGGAAAACCTTGTAGGACACCACTTGAGGTTGTAAAATCAGATGACAGTTCGCCGATTACCATGACGCGCAATGCTGACTAGTGTTGGAAGTTAGGGGTGGCCAGACTAAAACATGGCATCAGTGCTTGAAGTCACTAATGTCTGATCTGAGTGATGTTGGTAGATGCCGACAATATGGTTGGGGTGAGCGACTATCGTAACTAATGGTTGGAGACACTGGGTGACATGGCTCAGAATCAATCACAATGGCGTAGGTGCATACACTCTCTTCCCTTAAACGGTGATATTATTTAATACCTTTCTACGAACTAATTCTTTATCCATGTATCATATCATTTATATATTACTACCATCAAAGTAACTACATCTATGAATTTGGTGTCCACCTTGTTGTGCTGATGAGATGTAGCAACTTGGACCGACGCATATATGTGCCTGGTACTATGTTGTAGCTGACTGACTAACAACATTTCAAAAACACCCAAAATCAGTCGTTACGAACCGGTGTCTTTAACCCTATAAGATAAATAAATGACTTGAAGTAATACCTTTACAGTTAAAACATTTAAATCACCTATTAGGTTATTTTTTATTTATTTAAACACAAATATTGGTACAAGGAAGCACCAGATAAATATGCGCCAAACAAATCTCATTCGATTTGCTTGAGAGCTGTGATATGCCCATTTGCCCAAACTGAAGCAGGTGATTTTCTTAGGGGCCCACACCCGGAGCCTCTGACCGAAAGATCTGATCCACAAGACAGTGGAACATCGTGGAGATGCAGTCACATGGTAGACGGTGATAAACGATTGATTCGTACGCCATTTGTTCATCCAGTATATTAGAGCTCATGTGCACCATTGGTTTGGAATGAGGGTTTTCCAACTCCCCTATGTGGACTCGCCTCGTCCATCAACCCGGTTAAAGCGCTGGACATTCGCTTTTTGTTCTCTCAATTTCCTAAACAACACCCCCGCCACGAGAAGGCAGTGAGTAGGATTCCCTGGCAGAGGCTATATATTCGCGTGGCCATGTGAGAGCATTTTGAGAGGGAGAGCGGACTCTCCCCACTCTCGGCCGTACCAGGGCATTTGGGGGCTTTTTTATTAAGCCGGCGAAACCCGGTATTTCCCGCCGGTCACCCATGCAAGTACTGACCGGGCCCAACGTTGCTTAACTGCGGTGATCGGACGAGAACCAGTGCTTTCAACGTGGCATGGTCGCCGGTATGGTCACCTATTAGGTAACGGATTCATATTCTGCTCTGCCTACTTCGGTCCGGGATCAAAGCTGAGTATTCGAACTTATACTGGATTAATAAATTACAATAATGATAATGTTACCATTTTAGTAACTAGGCTATCCGAGGAATACTTCGAAACGCGATCATCAGCTCAAACCACACTCTTACAATCAACCTTTAGACAGTTGGTAAACATTTATTTTGAGAACTTCTTACTGTATCAAGTATACAGTACTGGACAAAGCGATTAACATCAAGTTGCATCTCAGTATGCGTATTTAGACATGACTATCACACTGTACATGTACATTTCGATAAATTGTATAAACGAAAATAAAAATGAGCATCTACCATTTTTAAGTGAACAATTTAAAGGATTATGACGGATTTCCAAGAGATCTACAAGGTTGCGACAAGATGTTCTGTACAGAATTTTTTTCGGGTAATATCACACATGAACGAATATAAGGAACTTACATAAAACGTATGTATTAAACGTAAGATATAGTAACTTAGTAGGCGTTTGGCTTGAAATTTAGACAAAGTAACAACCCTACAGGGAAGAATGCTATACAAAGTAGAGATCGTGAAGAATCAAGAGTGAACAAACAAACGAAAGTAATTCAGGACCTGACAAGAACTGTATCGTTGCATGTTGCCACGCTTCAAATTAGCACAGAGAAACAGAACCAAAGGGATAAATAGTAAAAATGAATGTATCAACATTTTCTGAGAACAGAAGGTAGAAAAACCTACGTGGAAATATGGAGCAGAATGCATAGAATAATAATCTTTAAACTTTATGCAAGAATAAATCCTTTCTCATTATTGCCACTGACTTGAAGCTACATCATCGTAACCAATCAACTGTTTTCTAGGGAAACGAAGACATGCACCTCGAATGCTTTGACACCCTTCAAAGTAACTAGATATATATATGTATATTTACACATGGAATGCCATTTAACTATATTTATGTACTAATTTTGGGAGTTTCATACGTCGTGTGAATGCAATTAAAGCTACTTAACCTAGTTGTTTAAACCTGTGAACTAGTGGTTGTATATTAAGTGTTTTACTCAGATTGTTATTGATCCACTTAGTGATTCACATAAAGATGTGACAAAGATATTCGTCAACTGATGGCTACTATTGGTTATTGAAGTAATTGCTAAAATACAACGCAAGAAACTAAAATTACCATCTTACCTAAGAAGTCCGCCAATACTGAAAGAGCGCCGATACATAGACCACCAAGTGCGGCTGCTGTTGGGATGTAACGGTTCAACTCATGCACCATTGAATTCTCCCGATGTCCTGGGACGACAGTCTGTTGTTCTTTGAGCTGTTTAACCACATCTTTAGCACTGGAATTTGAGACATCGATCCATATTTTACTGAAAAACGCACAGCTCCCAAGCATAAAAGCAATATACAAAATACCGTGTATAGGGTCTACTAGCATATCGCCTAAGGAATCTGGAGGCGTCATGTAGTAACACAACCCTCCGATAGGTACAGATCGAGAACCTCCTTCACCATCAGACCAAACACCCAGAAGATTGATAATGAAGTTACCTCGGAACTTGCTAGCTAACATCTACAAAAATCTTTTGAACATTCAATGCTACTCACTTGTGACATTACATAAAGATTAGAGACAAGCGCACTCTGAAGCATGATCGGGGCATTACTCGTGTAGAAAAGTTTGATTGGATATGAAGTTGATTGCCCACGATATCGGATTGACTTGACTGCAATATCGACTCTGAAGCTCTGAAGAATTCGAGACTTGTAAATAAACTTACTTGGAAGTAAATAACGACAGCAAAGACAAGAATAGTTGCAAGTATGTTCATTAGATTTGGGAGATTCTGACGATAAAAAGCCTCCCTTAGTGCGCGGACTTTATCTGTACGAGTGGCCAGTAGATGGAAAAGGGATATTATAGCACCCTCAAACTCCGTACCTGGAAAAGTAAACGTAAAAATTAACATTTACCTCGTCCAGTGTTAATCGTAGTCGGGCTTATTGCTCTCCACACGATAGTTTCACAAATATTAGTTGCAATAAACAAAGATATACCAGAACCCAAACCATAACCTTTCTGAAGAAGTTCATCCAACATCAAAACCAAGAGACCTGCGAATGTCAGCTTAAACAAGAGTGATCAAAAACAACAACAAACCTGGAAGATTATCAACAGACAAATCCCCGCACCTAGTTCGCTTGGTGCACCATAGATTCCGGACATAACATACACAGAAGCTTGGCCAACAGTTATAACCATACCGAATACTGGAATGTTAGAAATTTATGACATCTTACATTTCTGAGCTCCATTAAATAAAGCTCTGTCTTTCGGTGCATCGCCAACAGAGAGCACTTGTATCCCAGCAAGAAGTTGCATAATTAAACCAGATGTTATTATTGGAGATATTCCAAGCTCCATAAGTGTCCCTTTGTTTGACGCAGAAATCACTCGAAGCCAGTAAAGAGGGTCGGCAGATTCAGACGACATGATGCCAAAAAGTGGTATTTGGCAACAAAACAGAAATATCATTAAAGTTATTCCCGTCCATAACACACGTTCTCTAAACTGAATCTTCCGTTCAGGGCGGGAGATCTCCGGTAGGATTGCACAAAACGGCTTGACAATATCCAAAAACTTGACTATGTGAAATAGTTATAAAACAGAAAAACTCATATGACAAACCAGTCATCGTCAACACCAAAATCACAATGCGTGGCGGTTAGTATGCATGAAATGAAATGAACAAACAACTTTCATCATCCAATGTCTTTGTCACTAACCGATCTGAACCAGCTAATTTATTTGTGATCAGACCTAGAAATGGACATGTAGTCTTTATATTTTTGGCTATGTATGTAGGAATGAGTTCAGCTTATAAATGGGATTACCAGTGGATACAATCTATTTGATGGGGTCTGAGTACCCTAACCTCAAAATGAGACACTTACATGGCCTGATAAATGTCTGGGCATTTGTTGCAGCATTTTTCAGACCAAATCATTGGGAAATTGCTAAGAATTGAGGCGATACTAGATGGTACTATTTGTCTCCATCTACCAGTGACTGTAAAGGGATTCTAGGATCGGATGAATGAAAACTCCTGATACCTATTAGGGTCTTAATAAGTATTTACTTACATCTTTCTGAAACTCAATCTTTCTTCACAAAGGAAAGTCAACAAGAGAGAGGCCCAGACTAAACTGGATGAGCTTCAAAAAAGTTTGATATTAACTTGTATACAATTCATGATATAGCACAGAATGAAAATTCCACATTGGACAGAAATCATTGGAATCCATCAACACATTTAACTTCCACAAAAACATCAGCACACACCGAATGTGACTGTACTATCCGTCAGACTCGCAAGGAGAAATGTGGTCAAACTCATCTCCACGGCAACCAGCCTAAAGGGGATGAGTATCCTCAATGAAGCAACTATGGTGTTTGCATGAGCCAATCATTCCTTTGTGTTGAGGACTGCTTGATTTTGAATTCCACTTACAATACATCGGTTTGTGCTCATCTAGTTCTATCTGGCTTAAATTTCGCTACGGAACAACTAGGTTTCCTGTCGAAGCTAATTCTATTCATATTCTTCTCTAATAACCGGTTTAGAGTTTAAAGGTGATCGAACATCCGACGTGATCAAAAATCATTTAACAACAACGATTAAAAGAACATTTAATGCTGCTAAACTGCGAATAACCTTCACTGGTGAGAAATTATTTTCTGTATCCTCAAAAGATAAGCTTCCGCGTCTGGTCGACTCTATGTGTATCTACCAGTTCACCGGCTCTTGTAGAGCAAGGTACATCGGCCGTAGTCAGCGCTCGCTTTCAACTCAGATACGGGAACATATCCCAGTTTGGTTCTACAAGGGTGAAAGGAAAGCAGTTAGGAGTTCTATGCTTGAACACCTAATCGGCTGTAATCATTCTACGGATCCACAGTCTGATTTGAAGGTTGTTCATATGATTCATTCAAATCTACCTAGATTTCTTCATATCCAACCCCTAAAAGTAGCCGAAGCTCTTGCCATCCATGAGCTCAAAGCAGAACGATGCGTACAAAAGAAGTATGTCTTATCATTATCGCTGCCATGGCCTTAATATTATAATTATTATCATTCTATTATTATTACTCCATTTCCCGTTCACTTATATTCTCATTATTTTATTCATCAATACTCATCATATCCCCTTATTTATTTGTACACCTCTATGACATGTAATGACCTTTAATTATTTTAAGCAAAACATTTTATTCATTTCAATCATCTTATTATATTCATTAAATCTATTGTTATTACTCGTATCACGTAATCTAGAATTATAATCTTTCCATTACGTCATCTTGGTTATAAGTGTTCACATTTCCTCACAGAATTAGTACTTTAACAAGAAATTTATATATATATATATATACGATTGTACAGCTTGATAATAAATTCGTAGAAAAAAGATCTTTTCACTGAACTTCGTCTTTTAATTTTAGTGTTGCAATGGGAATTATATGCTAACAGAGGAGAATCGCTAACTCATTGAATGTTTTACTTTCAATCGATGACGACTAACACCCAGTCAGTATTTGGAGATGCCCCATTGGTGTCATATACTTTACTAAATTATTATCTTACCTCGTAGTCTATAACTTCTCCAACAAATAACCGCTCATGAGTTGTTGAATGTGTCCGCTTTTAGAGGATCAGAGGTTGTAAGAGAACAAAAGGTAGAAAAACAAAACAAGAATATCTGAGGGAATGCCATGAGCAAGCTACTGAAAACTATAGCTGATGTACGATTTTCCCATGATCTGTACAGCTATCAACGACATGATTGGGGTCTTACACTTTAACTATTTGATTGACTTGATGTTAATATGAATGTTTTAGTGAAAGTATATTCCGTAAAGTCACCTAAGAACCGAGTTAGTTTGCACCTTACAAGGGTGAATGTTCTAGTTGTCATGAGTATTGCTAATAGTCAACTAGTGTGAGGAGGTACTTCAGCTAAGTCTACGACAGGTTGACGTACGCTATTGGTCAATTTCATTACCTAGCATCTAGGAGAACAATGGACTGAATGAGTGAGGGGGAAATGTTTTTGTTCACAAAACACATTTATACGATGTTCTCTGACCGTAAGTTACTGAAAACGAGAAAAAAAATAGAGAAATATGATGACGATATAGAATTAGGAGGTGAATGACACTGGCCACTAGTTAATCAACCAACATCCCTCTGCTGGAAGTCAAGAATCAAAACGTAAGGGATTTTATTCTGGCTTAGGTCTAGTACAAGTGTCTTGGTTCAAGTGATACTGGGAAGTGGATATCTTATCTGAAGTCGCATAACGCATAAGACTCCAAAAACAATTAGAATAGAATAAACTACTGAATGTTAACGGTCGGTCACGTGGAATATTGAAAGAAGCCTAATGAAGATAAAGGGAACAGCATACAGATTTAATGAAGAGGCTGATAAGTTAACGGTTAGGGGGCTCTTATTTTGCCAAACACCTAACCAGGTATGTCAGTTTGTCCTACACTTAAATATATCCCCATCAAGAAGAGAAATCAGAAAACAAGTTATATTGTCTGTAAGCACTGCTAGTGAACAATATGTATGAGAGCTAGTGAAGCTGGAAACATCGATACAATCCGTTCACTACTTAGCTGAGTAAGCGGAAAATAGTGTATAGACAAAGTAAAGTGACAAACATGTTCTAACTCATAATTCAGTGCTTCCATTTTAGTTGTGGCTTATACCAATAGACTTCCAGATGAATGCAACCGTTAGTTTGTAGAATGACGGTCTAGCTCGGTATTAGTTATTTTGACGTCGTTACCATAACAATAGACTCAATTCCAAAAATGTGGGTTTGTCATAACGAGACTACCTAATGTACAAGATCTTACGTGAGAGTCGTATCATTGTCTGTACCGGCTCATCGTACGTGACAGTCAGCAGTATGTTTGGTACTTCTGAAGGACACATTTTGGTTGCAGATAAAACAATATATTTAATGTAGAAAAGAATAAGTTACATCGAATAACAACCCATGCAAGGTTGAGTCATGCCATACTGATCAATTGGCCTCGCCTTCCTCATTTCTGATTTTCTTCAGTGATTATATATTCAGCTTTGAAGATCATGTGGTTGCGAACCAATACCACTAAAGTTGTTTTATCAACCTGCTCCTGTAAGCGAATTTCATTGGAATGCTTAATTGACTCGTCATTTTATGACTGATGCCTTAGGTTTTTTCAGGAGTGAATTTTTCTGAAGGCATTTTAACAACTTATTCTCAACTGACGACAATCAAGGTTCAATAAGCAGTCATAGGGCAGAAGTGTTAACATGGAACCTGTAATTGAGAGGGCAGATGTTTTACGGGTACTGCAAATTCACAATCCTAACAATTCTAAGGGCCCAAACTGTCTCTATCAGAAAATTAAAGTAACCTTAGATGATGCAATTTTCAGACAACTGGTCACACTATTGGACATCGATGAACCAGCTGAGGAGTCCAAGAGACTAAAAGGACGCCATTACCCATCCAGGTTTTGGGACCAAATAAACGAACATCCCACAGTTATCAGGACATATGTCACAAAGTAAAAGCTGATTAGCTGTATCTATCCAACCATCCATTAAAAAGACAATGCTGGGTTACAACTGAAGACTAAACTATATCGGTAGTTGTAAAGACTGTAGATTCGAAGTCTCGAAATCGGGACTCAGAGTGAGAGTGAAAGGTTCATGACCGTCATGACCCATCTTGACATCATAAATGTCCAAAGAGCTGGAATGTTCATATTATTGGTCTTGTTCGGCCGTGTGAGCATCATAACTTTTAGGCCAGTATCTTCGCATTTGTGGCTCTTGTCATAACTATTGTTGTACCACGTGTTTACGGTTTGTGACTAAAGTTCAAAGTCATTGAGAATATCCGACGAATATACAATCGGTACTTACACTTACTACTGTTGTTTAGACAACTGCAACTGATATTGCTGCCAGACGACCTTCATTGTACTCAAGATCAATGCTCGTAATTACTGAATGAAATAGATTCTTGTGCCGTCGTTGACAATTGAAGGTAGTTGATTGCACTGTACTTCATTCACGAATGCAAGCAGAGAAAATCAAGGCACGAGCTGAGTACACTGAAGCAAACAACAAGTGAAGAGGAGCGTTCAAGCTGACAAGCTCAAATATGTGGAAGACCTAGAAACAACAGTGGAAATAGCTGCAAGAGAAGAAAATATGAAACAATTGTATGACCCAACGTGGAGACTAGCAGGGAAATATAATAAACCAGAGAGACCAGTCAAGGACAAAGAAGGAAAGACAATCACTGATATTCAAGAACAGAGGAAAAGATGGGCAGAATACTTCGAGGAACTGTTGAATAAACCAGCTCTATTGAATCCATCGGACATCGAAGCACCACACTGACCTTCATATAAATGTTACTCCATCAACGATCGAAGAAGTCAGGATGGCCATCAGACAAATGAAGATTGGGTAAGCAGGACGACCTGACAATATACCAGGCGAAGCAAGGAAGTCAGACATTGAAGTAACTGCAAACATGCTTCACCTTCTATTCAAGAAGATCTTGGAGGAGAAACAAGTGCCACCGAGAGACTGGAAAGAAGGATACCTCATCAAGATACCAAAGAAGGGAGATCTGAGCGAATGTGAGAATTACAGAGACATCAGTTTGTCGTCA